GGGGGGCGGGGGGGGGAGTGAATTCTGCATCGGTTCGCTTATGCCGCGTAACAAAGCACCCCAAGTTCAGTGGGTGCCAAGCACCGACCATACAAGTCGTGCATACTTTTATGGGTTGGCGGTTTGGACTGAGCACAGCTGGAGAGTCCTTCAGTGTTGACTGGATTCACAGGTGCATGCGCAGATGGCTGGGGCGGGGTGGTGTGGGAGGGCCTCCACTGGTGGTCCCTCCTCTTCCAGGAGGCAAGACCAGCCTGTTTGCATGGAGGCAGGGCAGGGTTCAGAGAGTAATCGGAAGTGTGCACAGCCCCCGGGGCCTGAGTGTGGAATGGCTAGTGCTCTCCCATTCAGATGTCAGAGTGCATCTTAGCAGAGTCAAGGCTGGGAAAATAGACCACCTCCTAGTGGGAGTCACTGCAGAGTCCATGGGAAGGGTCTAGAGACAGGGAATTAAGGTCTGTGGGCACTTTTTGCAGTTCATCACGGCCAAGTACAGGCGCAAACCCTGCTTCCAGGAGTTCTAAGACAAATGCAGAAGACCAGGGAAGAGACTGGGATAGTTCATTAGTACCACTGTAGGGGCATTTTACTTCTCTGGAATTAAACATGGGTCACCTTGGGACCAGCAGATGTTGTAATGGTTATGGCACTGGACTCCCACATCATCGACCATGGTTTGAGTCCCACGCCGGGCATGTTTGCGTGAGTGCCCAAAATCCTGAGAGGAGAATGGAGGACTAAGGATTGCGGCGTGGTCATCCCCCCCAGGTGGTGATTTCTCTCTTTCTGTCTCCCTGTTTTCCTGTCTCTTGGGCGAGTACACATGCCCTATAGGAAAACTAAAACAATAATAATAATTAAATAAATAAAAATAAGGGGCCAGCAGGTGACATGGTGGTTAAGGTGCAGGACTTCCACCTGACTGACCACAGTTCAAGTCCTAGACTTGAAAATCACAGGGACTGGAGTCAGCAGGTGGCATGATAGTTAAGGCACTGGACTCCCACATAGCTGACCATGGTTTGAGTCCTGGACCTGGTGGCTTGCTTTCTCACTTTCCCTCTCTCTCTCTCTCTCTCTCACTCTGCCCCTCTCTGGTCAAATTAAAATAAAGTTAAATAAAATAAAATAAAGAAAAAGAAAATCACAGGGACCAGCAGATGGCGTAATGGTTAATCAACCGCAGTTTGAGTCCTGGACCCAGCAGCTTAAAACTCATGCCCAAAATCCCTAGAGGAGAATGGAAGAAAAGGGACTGCAGCCTGGCCACCCACCCTGGGGGTGCTTTCTCATTCTCCCTTTTTCTGTCTCTCTCTAGCAAGTGGATGTGCAAAAAAAAAAAAAGAAAAGAAAAAAGAAACACAGAGCTAGCAGGTGGCATGGTGGTTAAGGTGCTAGACTCCCACATGGCCAACTGTGGTTCAAGTCCTGGACCTGGTTGCTTGCTTTCTCACTTTTCTTCTCTCTCCCTCTCTCCATCTCCCCGGTAAGTGCATGTGCCCTATCTACAGCAAGTTAAAAAATAATAAAACAAATAATTCTTTACAAATAAATGAATGAATGAGCAGAAAAAGATAAAAAGAAGAGATGCCAGGTCCCCCTGCGTATGGGAGAAGAGGTAAGATTGGAACCACAAGGATCTGCTCACGTCTTTGGCAGTAGCACCTGTGGTGACTGAGAAAAGCGAGAACCTCGTTGTGTGAAAAGTCGTCTCAGAGGGGCAGTCTTTCCAGGACTCAGCCCAAGGAACCTGCCTGCCACCCTGGGTCTGCGGAAACACCGGTGCTGGGTGAGCGCACAACTGCTAACTGGCCCTCAGCCAGCATGAATTCCACAGGTTTGAGAGAAGGATCTAGATGACAGCAGGGTGGAACACAAGACTTGCAGGTGCTTTAAAAGCCTATAAAGTGAGGGCAGCATTTAGCACATTGTTCCACAGATGGCGAATCCAACCCAGATATTAAAACACACACGTGTGCCCCAGCATGAGTTTTAAGCCGTCGGGTTCGGGACTCGAACCATGGTTGACTATGTGGGAGTCCAGCGATGTAACCATTACACCATCTGCTGGTCTCCTCCAGTGTGTGTTCTAAAATCCGAGGAGCTCTCCAAGCCTTCGCTGCCCAGAGATTGTAGACCAGCTGCCTTGGAATCAAAGGGCTGATTGTCCAGCATTTCTAACCTAGCTTCTCTGCTCTCTGCTTCTGCCTTTCAGATGGGCTTCTTTCGCCGAAGGTACAAAGAAATCATTGAGGCCGAGAAGAACCGAAAAGAGAACGAAGACAGTTGGGACTGGGTCCAGAAAAACCAGTGACCTGCCATACCAGTCACATGACCTAATCACTAGCCTGTCGTCCTTGATCTTTGTATCTTCCATATTTGGAAGAAAAAAAAAATCTTCTCCAGATTTTTCGGAGGCTCCACTGATGCTGTTTTCTTCCTCATTCTATCAAGCCCAGGTGCTGACCTGAGGCAGCCACTTTGGCCAGGTCACATGACCGGAGCCACCATTTTCTTTTCAAAGATGAACTCTGAACTTTGGAAAGCAAGCTACAGAGCCGAGCAATATTTATGGATGCAACAAGCATGGTCAACCCTCAGGGGAAAACTGTTACCTAAAAGTATTTTTATAAACATAAGCCTTTTATACTGATTACGTCTTTATATTTGTATCGATGTTTTATTATTTCTATTAAATAGTTATATAATTCACTCGAGCACTGATATCTGGCCTGAAATCTTGGACATATATGTATATGAATACAAATTTTAAAGGCTAAAAATCTTATCGTACTTTGGGACTTGCTCTTACAAAAAAAAAAAAAAGACTTGCAGGTCAAATAAGCCGAAGAAACCCCATGTCATGAATTTACCAAGCTGTCGGTTCTGTGTATAAACTGAGGAGGTGGCAAGACCCCTATGAGATGTCACATCTCTGTTGCCTGGAGTCAAGTTTGGAGCCATGTGCTCAAGAACCATAAGTGTTTTTTCATGTGTTCCGTTTACTGGAAGATTCCCAACAGGAATTTGGATGGAAAACCTGATTCCTAGCGACAAGTCTGCTCTACATCACCTTTACATAGCAGACATCTCACCCTCCTCCTGCTCAGATTGATGGATGAAAGTGTGGAGCAATGCCAGCGGGTCATCTGGTAAACCTCAGAATGGCATCTCATTTCGATGTCCTGCCTCAGAGTTCACACACCACAAGGACTAAATCAGTGCTCTCAACCCCCAAGGAAAGCGGTGTCGGAATGTTGTGAGGCA